ACCAAGGACTAAACCAGGACTGAACCAGGACTGAATCAAGGACTGAACCAGGACTGAACCAGGACTAAACCAGGACTAAACCAAGGACTGAACCAAGGACTAAACAAGGACTGAACCAAGGACTAAACCAGGACTAAATCAGGACTAAATCATTGCTAAACTGACTTAACCAGGGCTAAATTAGGACTAAATCAGGACTAAACTGATCTAGGGACTGAACCAGGATCAAATCAGGGACTAAATAGCAGGAATTAACCAAGATTTATGCAGGACTGGTTTGATTAAATTCAGGGATTTGGCCTGGACTAAACCAGGACTAAACCAAGTCCTAAACCAGGACTAAACCAAGGACTAAACCAAGTACTAAACCAAGGACTAAACCAAGGACTAAACCAAGGACTAAACCAGGACTAAAGAAGGACTAAAGCAGGACTAAACAATGGCTCAACCAGGACTAAACCTGTAGTAACCAGGAACTAAACTATGGATTGAACCAAGGACTAAACCAGGACTGAATCAAGGACTAAGCCAAGACTAAATCAGGATTAAACTGATCCAGTGACTGAACCATGCAGGGACTGAACCAGGACCAAATCAGAGACTAAATAGCTGGACTTAACCAAGATTTATGCAGGACTGGTTTGTGTTTATTCAGGGACTGGGCCTGGACTAAACCAGGACCAAACCAGGACCAAACCAGGACCAAACCAGGACCAAACCAGGACCAAACCAGGACCAAACCAGGACTAAACCAGAGCGCCTGTGTTCCTCTCATTTAGTCTTTTCCTCTGATGTTGTTGTGGTTTTAATGAGATGTCGACTTAACGAGTTTAAATCCTCCGAGATTTAAAGAGAGAAAAACAGAGTGAGGGGAGGAGAGGGGCTTTTTACTCCAACTTCAACCTAAACTGGATCATCAAGACTTCTGTACTCATTAAAATACACTCTGAGTTTTTGGAATAACACTCAATTTATTTGTACTAAGCAAATTTCATAAAGTCTCATCTGTTGTCCAGGGTGCACGCATGTTTACGAGCAGGTTACCGAGGCCCACAACTGGAATCTCGGTCTGTTAATTAATATTTAAAGGGGCCCGTGTGAGTGTTCTTGTTCCAGGCTCCCAAATTTGTCGATGGGTCTGTACACGAGCCCTGTTATTATCTCACAAGTCCAGTCAGAACCACACGCTTTGACAAAACTTGACAAAGACGAGTGGATCTGGAGCTGTGTCCTGTTTGACTGATTTCAGAGTGAGTGATTGACAGGGGGATTAACCAATCAGAGAGGTGCATGCTCTGTTAAGGTCAAAAACAAACAAGTGCAATCAGAGATATCAACCTGGTCCACATGAGGCGTCGGTGGGTCAGTTCATCAGCACAGAAACAGTTTATGAGGAGTCCAGCCCATATCACATGATCATTATATCCACAATGTAATGTGTGTATGTGTACAGGCCCATGAACATTAGTGTGATATTTGTGTAACGAAAATGTCATTTTTCATGAGTTGTGTGTGTGTTAGTTGTGTGACTGTAGATCAGTGTGTTGTGTATCACCAGAAAAACAAGAAATGGAAATTATTTTTGTTCCAATTAGAATTTTAACGGCTACACTGAAAGAGAAAAAAACTGTTAGAAGTAATGATTATCTTGAAAAATATTCATATTTGACGATACAAATGCATAGAATTTTGAGAGACTCCTTTGTGGAGTTATGACCAAAAACACATATTTGACCCTGGTTACCTTGACCTTCAAGTGACCTTGACCGGTTTCAACCTGTAACCTCCAGTGTACATGTTATGTGTGTGCCAACTTGTGTGATGATTGGGGGAATATTTTAGGCCGCAGATGGTTCAGAATTTGCAGAAATTGCCTTATCCTTTATAATGGCGTGACCTTTCAATGACCCGTGTGACCTCAAATGACCTCGGATCATCACCAAACTTGTTTTTGTGGCATCGGGCACGAGGACTTGACCCACGTAACAAATTTGGTGACAGTCGGTTCATAAATGGTGGAATTATCACAAGTGGACAGAGACACACACACACAGACACACACACACACACACACACACACATACAGATACACACACAGACACACATACAGATACACACACACAGATACACACAGATACACACATACAGATACACACACACACACACACACACACAGACAGATACACACACAGACACACATACAGATACACACACAGATACACACACACGCAGACGCACACAGACACACACACACAGACACACATAGACACACACACACACGCAGACACACAGACAGACACACACAGACACACACACACACACACGCACAGACACACACACACACAGACACACAGACAGACACACACACACGCAGACACACAGACAGACACACACACACACAGACACACATAGACACACACACACACGCAGACACACAGACAGACACACAGACACACACACACACACACACACACAGACACACACACACACACAGACACACACACACACAGACACACACAGACACACACGACACACACACACACAGACACACACACACACACACAGACACACAGACACACACACACACACACACACACAGACACACACACACAGACACACACACAGACACACACACACACACACACACAGACACACACACACAGACACACACACACACACACACACACAGACACACACACACACACACAGACACACAGACACACACACACAGACACACACACACAGACACACACACACAGACACACACACACACACACACACAGACACACAGACACACACACACACACACACGACACACACGACACACACAGACACACACACACACACACACACAGCACACACACACACACACAGACACACACACGCACACACACACACACACACAGACACACAGACACACACACACACACACACACAGGGTGAATAGAAAACCTGCTCAGCCCTTCAGGGACCAGGTAATGTTCTGATATATGATTAAAAAAAAAGGGGGAAAGCTTCATAAAGGACTGAGAAACATCCGATTTTTGCAGTATCGAAGCACCAAACTCTTATTTATCTCCGGTAAAAGAAGTTTTAGGTTTTGTTCTGAACGTTAGAAGAGTTTTCAAGAGGACATGTCTGATACAAATGAGCGTCTGGTTGGATTGTTTGAAGTGTGGACAGAGGTTTTTCTCGTTCTTTTGTCCCGTTACTCACACTTGTGGATTCAGACAGAATGTAGAGGGACTGGCAGCTTATTACTCTATTCAGTTACACAAATGCTGCAATTGAAAATATGAATGGATTTCTTATTCATTCTGTTCACAGTCGTCTTTGAGCTGGTCTCCTCTGCAAAACCTGGAGCAGCCACTTTTCTCCTCGAGGTTTATAAATGTGCTGCATGTACTGGTCCTTCATTTCTCTATATAGGTTGATTTTAACAATGAAATAAAATAACATCAAATAATAAATGATAATAATAATACATTAGATTTGTATAGTACCTTTCAGGACAGTCAAATATTAACACAGTTAAAAGAGCAATAAACTCATCAAAAAGGAAAGATCAAAAATAATTGTTTGAAATAATTTGATTTGGGATTTCTGTAATGAGGTGGAATATGGTGATATGATTTTTTTTTTTCAGGACTAAATCAGGACTAAACCAGAGACTAAACTGAGGCTTAACCAGGGACTAAACCAGGACTAAACCAGGGACTAAACCAGAACTAAACCAGGGACTAAACCAGGGACTAAACCAGGACTAAACCAGGACTAAACCAAGACTAAACCAAGACTAAGCCAGAGACTAAACCAGAGACTAAACTGAGACTTAAATGGGACTAAACCAGGACAAAACTGAGACTAAATCAGAGACTAAACCTGAACTAAACCAAGACTAAACGGGACTAAACCAGAGACTAAACCAGAGACTAAACCAGAGACTAAACCAGAGGCTAAACCAGGATAAAACCAAGACTAAACTAGGACTAAACCAGGACTAAGCAACAACTAAACCAGGACTTAACAAGGACTAAACAGGGACTGTATCGTGTACTGAACCAGACTAGGCCAAGATTAAACCAAACTAAACTCTGTGCTCTTTCTAAGTCAAGTTCATATCATATTTTTATGAGACTCGTCTCTCTCCTCTTCCTCTCTTTCTCTCTTCCTCTCTTTCTCTCTTCCTCTCTTTCTCTCCTCCTCTCCTCTTTTCTCCTTTCCTTTCCTCTCTTCTCTTCTCCTCTTCTGTGACCTGCTGTATCTCTCCTTTTTTGACCCAGAACAGTTTATAATTCCACACTGTTTTAGATCTGAAGGAAACTCCGCTCCGGGCCAAATGTGCTTTTGTTTAAAACGTGGACTCTGCATTTCACCGTCCTCCTAATGCTAAGCCAATTATGAAACCGCCGTCACACTTTGATGATGCGTACATGTGAGGCCAAATATGGACTTCCTGGAATGCCTTAATACATGATAACAGAGATATTTCCTTTGAAATATTTAAGACAAAAGGAAGAGTTCTGGGCCTGGAGGTTGTTCATATATTTATAGTTTAGTGTTAGAGCAGAAGTTCACATGTACGAGATGGAAGCTGCTTTGCCAAGTCGACAATTCTGCTCATTTAAACTCTGTCTGACCCTCTCCTCTGCTCCTCTGACCATCTCCACTGTATCTTCTGCTCCCCTGACCTTCTCCTCTTCATCCTCTGCTCCATCTGACCTTCTCCTCTGCAACATCTGACCCTCTCCTGCTGTTCTGCTCCTTTGACCCTCTCCTCTGTTCCTCTGACCTTCTCCTCTCCTCCATCTGACCGTTCTCCTCTGCTCCATCCGACCTTCTCCTCCGAAACATCCTCCCTCTCTTCTGCTGTTCTGCTCCTCGGTCTCTCTCATCTGCATCCTCTTCTCCTCTCACCCTCTCTTTTGCATCCTCTGTTCTCACAAAGACTCTCAGATCAGGAGGAGACGGGCTGACCTCTCGTGTGCTGTGTCCTGTAGGGGGCAGCAGAAGGGCCTCTCCCCGTCCCGGTCCCGGTGGCAGCCTCCTCTTCGGGCGGAGCTTTGGTGGAGAGCGGACCTGTGGTGTATGAAGACGAGCCGGAGGAAGAGGAGGAGGAGGAAGAGGAGGCAGGCTGTGTGAGCGCCATGGAGCTGCTCGGAGCCAGCGGTGAGAAACAGGACGCTTCTTTATGTAGATGATAGAATGTTATTTTCAAGAGTAAATGGTAGATCCTGTGGCTGAGCAGAGCTGGGTCTGGTCACGACCGCTGGGAAATATCATGTGCCACAGTGGGGCAATAGTGACAAAAAAAACTAAACTGTTGTGTCCTTATGTTATTAGGTTCTTTTTTCAGACCAAGTTTCTTTTCATCCCTGACAGTTTGAGGAAGAGCGCAGGGAGCAGAACAGAGTCAGGTGATGTTGCTGTGACATGTCGCTCAGCTGATTTAAACAGCTTAACCACGACGAAACCACAAAGAAACCAGGGCTAAACCAAGACTTAACCAGGGCTAAGGACTTAACCAGGACTAACCAGGACTAACCAGGACTAACCAGGACTAAACCACGGCGAAACCACAAAGAAACCAGGACTTAACCAGGGCTAAACCAAGACTTAACCAGGGCTAAACCAGGACTAAACCAGGACTTAACCACGATGAAACCACGTCTAAACCAGGATTTAACCAAGACTTAACCAGGACTAAACCACAACTAACCAGGACGAAACCAGGACTAAACCAGGACTTAACCAGGACTAAACCAGGACTTAACCAGGACTAAACCAGGACTTAACCAGGACTAAACCGGACACATCAGAGCAACATCACAAGACTCTGAGGAAGAGCACAGTGAGCAGTCGAAACTGTCAGGTGTGAAAACAAACCCTTGGTCTGAAAAAAGAACCTAATAACGTAAATTATCAGAAGACCAAATAAACCTCATCGGACTGTTGTGTCCTTAGGCAAGACACTTGTGGATGTGTCATGTATGTGTGTTGATGGTGGTGGTCAGAGGGCCCAATGGTACAGACTGACTCTGTATAAAGAGCTTTGGTATCTTGAAAGGTTCTATAGAAATCCAGTGATTCATGAATTGTTTTATGCTTTATTTTATATCACTGTAAACTAATATTATTGTTACATATTTTAGATTATTATTATTATTTTGAGATTTATGGAGGCCTAGATATATTTTCTTGTTTTAACATTTCTTGATAAGTAAATTTCACTTGTTTCTAGTGCATTTCAACTTAAAACAGGTGTATTTTTCTAGTTTTAAGGAGAGTTTTTGTGCTCTTGTACTTGTTCTGATGCAGCTCAACATCCTTCTAAAGACATTCAGGAAAGATTCATGTCTGTCCTGAGAATGTGACTTTTTTAGTATCAATACCTGCTCAAATGATTATCTCGTTTCAACACTAGTTTTAGTATCAATTAGTGTCTGATTTTTGATTCTTTTGTCAATCCTAGTGCACAATGTTCCACACTGTTGCATTAAATGTAACTATCCTGTTTTTACTGCTCAAAAATATCCAGAAACAAACACATTCTCACTGTGAATGGACTCCCCTCTCCACAGATCTGACCTGTAACTTGGCCTGGCGATGTCATTTGGCTGTTTCCACGGAAATTATTTTATTACTTGTCCTGAATGTTCCACAGTATGGCATTAAACATAACCACGTCCAAACCAAGTTACAAGTCAGATCTGCTGAGGAATGCACGTTTTTCAATTTTACTAACACAAACACTTCGAATAAATCCAAAATAGAAACTTAAATTCCACACAAAGCAATAATATCTGTCTGGAGACGAGCAGGTGGTGTTCCCGCTACCAGAAAAGTTTCACAGTGAAGCTTTAAGTAGAAATTGATCGTTCAAAGAAGCTAAATGTGTTTTTGTGTTCTTGTGTGTTTCAGGTTATGGATCAGACGGAGATTATGACGACTACTAGCCTTTCCTCTCCTCTTCTTCACCTCTCTGTCCTCCTCTCCCTCTCTCTTCTTTCCTCTCATCAGCTGCTGCTAAATAACCGATGGACTTGAACTAAACGCACAACAAAAAAACGCTGCTTAACCCGGCGGCCATTTTGTTTCGTTGCACATAAAAACCAAGCCTAGTATTTATAACGTCAAATGAGGAATGACTTGAACTGTCGTCATAGGAACAACTACTACATTTGGGGATCTGCACTACGAAAAGAAGCATCTGCATTGGGTAAAATCACTTGAAATCTGAATAATTATTTAAGAATTTAGCCTACACAGGTTAAAAAACTACAACTTTTCTTATTTATTACTTTATTTAAATGAAAGCAGAATCAAAATAAGTACTTGAAATAATTTAAGTCATGGTTTAAATGTTCTATATTACACAAAACTCACTCTCTGAGATTTAAGCCGTGTTATAATCTTGTTATCTTCTCAAAAACAGACCTGGAGATGTGTTTTGTTTCATTCACACATTTTGTCATACACATAATTTACTTTTAGTTTAGTAGAGATCGGCAATTCCAAGTCTGAAATGATCCAAATGATTCCAGTGAAGATGTATAGAGTTTAAAAACACAGTGGAGCACTTCCAGCATGTGTGAATGAAATAAAACACGACTCCAGGTCTGTTTTTGAGGAGGAAATCACATTAGAACATGACTTAAAGCTCACAAGAGTCGATTTTATGTCATCTAAAACCTTTAAGTCATTTTGATGTGGAAAGTGTTTATTCTCAAAGTGTCTCTTAAGTCATTTCTTTGTGTAAAATTGAGTTTGAACTCATCACATTCTGCGCTGCAATAATGTGTGTTATCTGAACGAAGGCAGGATTTCAAAACTAGAAAGAAAAAGAATACAGAATATTCATTTCTTTGAACGTGTTTGAAGTCTATGACTCCAACACAGATCCTGCAAATGCTACAGAATCATAAATGAAAGTGCCTATGACGGTTTGGACGACTTATTTGACTAAATGTGATGATCTGTTGAAACTCAACACTTCCTGTCAGTCTCAACAAATTTGTCCAACTTCTCTTCACAAATTGCTTCTTGTTTGATGGAAAACTATAATTAACATTTTCAACAGATGTGATCCTAACAAATTAAATCAAAATGAGAGAATTGCCAAAACCTGTCATACGCGCTTTAATAACTTTACTGCACTTTTTGCCTTAAGTGTTCTCAAACTCGAGCTTTGAACTATCAGGAAAAACCATCATGTATTTACTCAATTACTGTTGCCTTATGTCTGCAAAGTAAATGTAAAAATAACTGACATGGAGTGCTTGAAAATGAGGTTTCAAATGTTTGGTGTGTTAGAGGATTCATTTTGATGTGACCGTTTGGTTAGAAATTTGAAAGAAAAACATTTGGCAATTCAAAAGGTATTAATTGTGTTTTGTTTTTCCAAAATTACACTTAGATTACACATTGAGAAGACTTATATCTGAGTAAGTGAACAGAACTAGAATGAATTACTCTAGTATCTGGATTTGAGCAGATTTGACCTGAAAAGTCAAATTATCCACGGATGGAACACGACTTTTTCTACTCAAATTAACTTTAAATTAGAAAAAAACAACTCTTTACACTTGAAAGAAGACAACGAATATTGTGTTTCTTAAATTTAAATCTCTGTACCTGATTTTTGTTGTCTTAAAAACGTGAAAAACAGAACTGGATCATTGTAAACAGTTTGCAGTTCTTCCTCACTCACCTTATGCATTCAGAACATCCGAATTATTCACCTCGATGGTTCATTTGAAGCCGGAGTGGAGTTTTGCATGATGCTCATAACAACTAGGATGCTAACACACACTTTCTGATTCTCAGAAAATATAACATGTTATACTGAGGCGTTTTGTTCATGTACATGGACAAAAAATCTGGTACTATATCTGTAAGAAGAAAGTAATAGTAGTAGATTATTACTAGTAGATAATTTTACTTGACTTGTCTAATCTACCCAAATTCAGAAAATTTATTAAGAATTCATGTAATTTAAAAGGTGCAATGTGTAACTTGTGTAACCGCTTGTTTCTCTACATACATCATTGCTCTGCCTGGAATGTTCCACAGTGTGACATTAAACACTTCTACTTTACATTTATTCAAGACATGCATCACAAATCTCAGGACTTCCGGTCATTGCACAATTCATACTGGGAAGGATCCTCCGAAAAAGTGAGCATCAAACCTCCATGTTTGTTTTCCCAGTGGGATGTGTCTATTGACAAAGTCGATCTTTTCAAGTCTTTTGAACCATATCACTTTTGTTTCTGGTTCTGATATTGTCATATTTTAGTTTTGGGATTCAGACATTGTAATTGTGTGGTTGTTGGATCCTAACAGCAGAAAACAGCTCGAGAAATGTGCTTTGGAAGTTTGCGAACTCCATAAATGCAAAAGTGAATTAGATGCGTGTGACTGCAAACCTCTGTTCAAACTGTTTCTCTTCCCAACAGAATTGAAAAATAGTGAAAGGTGAAGGTGATGGGCAGGATTGATCCACAGGAAGAACCAAAAGGAAACCTTTGACTGTCTAAATCATCTCGAGTTTGCAGAGAACAATTTTGTATGTAGAGCTCCAACAAAGCAAAATCCTGATCCCTGACTTAACCTCGGTTACGAATTTAAAAAGTCATCACCAAAGCGAAAGGCACCAACTGTTCACCAAGAAACACCTTCCACTGCAAAGAGACCAAGACGTGATGTTGCTGTAAAACCACAAGAACAAGAAAGTGCAGCTCAGTCTGTTTGTCTTCTGCTCCTCTCGCACAAACAAATGAGATCCCGCTTTGTTGGAGCTCTACATACAAAATGTTCTCTGCAAACTCGGGATGATTTAGACAGTCAAAGGTTACAATTTTTATCCTTCCTGTGGATCAATCCTGCCCATCACCTTCACCTTTCACTATTTTTCAATTCCATTGGGAAGGAAAACAGTTTGAACAGAGGTTTACAGTCACACACATCTGATTCCCTTTTGCATTTATGGAGTTCGCAAACTTCCAAAGCACATTTCTCGAGCCGTTTTCCTCTGTTAGGATCCAACATCCACACAATTACAATGTCTGAATCCCAAAACTAAAATCTGACAATATCAGAACCAGAAACAAAAGTGATATGGTTCAAAAGACTTGAAAAGATCGACTTTGTCAATAGACACATCCCACTGGGAAAACAAACATGGAGGTTTGATGCTCACTTTTTCAGAAAATCTTTCCCAGTATGAATTGTGCAATGACCAGAAGTCACTCAAAGTTATAAAACTAGGGTCGCCTCTCCACACATCTGACCTGTAACTTACTCTGGTTTGGTCTCCGTGAAGATGGAAAGTTTAATTTAATACCATACTGTGAAAGCAATAACATCTCCATGGAGAAAAGCATTTGATGGACCCTCCACCAGAAAAGTTACACAGTGCACCTTTATCTCTCCTAGGTTTTGTGTTTTCCAGTGAGAGACGTGAAACTGTTGGCTCCACAAACCTAAAACACGGGTTCAGTTTGTAACGGATATTTACAAAACCTACATTTCAAACTTAAAAGGTGGATTATGTAACTTTTCAGGTAGCTTTCTATCTTCATGGAGACCAAACCAGACCAAGTTACAGGTCAGATCTGTGGAGAGGCGACCCCGCTCACAGTCACAATGTCTGTTTTTCTGAGTATTTTTGAGCTCTAAAACCACCTGTAAATAATAAATGTAAAGTAGAGCTGAACGTTCTTCTGAACAGCATTCTTACTGTAAGTGTAGTCACCTCTCCACAGATCTGACCTGTAACTTGGTCTTGCTTCTTTGAAAATAGATCATGTTTAATGCCGTGCTGCAGAAAATTCCAGGCAAAACAAATCATCTCCACAGAAAGAAGCATTTGGCAGAACCTCCACACACTGCACCTTTAATTTTGACTTGCCAAAATGTGCTAAATGATTTTTCTTTCAAATTTAAACCAAAATTATTATTATTATTATTTTTTTTTTAGGACAATAGGGAATTCTTTCTTGAGTGTTTTGTTTACAGTTAAAAATGGACTAATATATTTTTACATTTGCGTTTGGCGACTGTGATTTTTGTCTAAAATTTTCCAATAGAAAATAGATTATCGACTGTTTTTTGAAAATGCTGCATCAATTTCAAATGTTTTTTTGAGTTGCATCAGTAAAATCACCAACTGTGAAAACTTGAACTGTACGTGTCGATGTTTTTGTGTCAGATGCCCTCCCATCCTAACAGAAATGATCAGGGAAAACATTTATGGAATAGACGAGTTTCAGCTGACGTCATTGTTATTAAAAGCCCGTGTTGCATGCTGGGAAATATTTTGGTCGGAGGCAAGAAACACGGTAGCGGTCAAACACAGTGTGTAACCTCGCGTATTTATCCCAGATAATGGTAAATTCCTGCTGCATTATCAGATGCACAAATAGAAGCACAGGAAGAAGGAAAATGTCTTTTTTGTATTCTGAGTGAAAAGAACCACTAACGGTGAATTAAACGACTTTCAAACATTCCGCAGAGCAAACGTAGAAGATCCTAACAAACCGTGGACTCCAACAAGTTCAACAACACATCAAGACTCTTGGATGGTTTTCATCTTTTCTGCTGTGAATGGCCCAGGAGTTTCCACCAAGTCATTGTGGATATCACCAAAGTGAATATTTGTCCAGGTAGTTGGTGATTCTGACCAGAAATTTGGTTTGGTCCACCTTTTGTCGGGTTGAAAAGGGTGATTTGGCTCCATCGATGCTTATGACCAATTTCTGGTCAAATGGTCTTGGGTCCTCTGCCGTTAGAGTGGATAAATAACCGGGATCAATACCCTTTACGTCAGGGGTGTCAAACTCATTTTGGTCCGGGGGCCATATCCAACCGACTTTGATCCCAAAGGGGCCGGATCAGAAAACTCATGGCATATAAACCCCAAAAATAACAATAAGTTCAAATATTTGTGCAGAGAAACACAAATCTATTATAGAAATCTTTTTTTAATTGATGAACTCTTTCTTTTACAAAATATTATAATATTATAAACAATCTGAAACTTTAAGAAAAATGTAATTTCAACACAAAGTTTGAACATGAACTTGTATGTACATAGGAATAAGTCAATTTTTCTTGGAAAATCCACTTTTGTCATGTTGGACATTTTTCTGATGAGGGTGTCACGGTCAACAGTCAAAACGATCGTCCTTTAAGAGCGTTTGGAAAGAGACAAGTCTTCATTTGTGCTGCTCTGGTGGGAGGGGCCACGTACAGAGACGCTGGAGACGCTGCTGTGATAAACACCACAGAAAATTAACATGATTTTAATTGAAAATATAATTACAACACCTTTAATCTGGCAATCAGATGACTTTCTACTAAAATAGAAAGTCAGCTGAGGGTCAGATTAAAGGTCTTGGAGGACCGGATCTGGCCCCCGGGCCTTATGTTTGACACCTGTGCTTTACGTGCTTTCTCGCTCCGTCCGTCATGTTGAATTAGTGTTTCTTGCTGCCGACCAAAATAATTCCCAGCATGCAACGTGCACTTTTGTCAACAATGAAACTCGTCTATTGTGTCTCTGCTCCACATTCTACTGTCAACATTCATCAACATTCCCTGGGATTGTGATGCTAACAGGATGCACTGCTCTGTCTGACGCTTGTTGGACTAATCTGAGTTTTATTTTAACGTAATCTGACCAGAAAGAACTGACTTAGTGAGCTGATTAGTGCTGTTAAAAAAGTCTCAAATCAAATTCGAGCTTTCAGTTAGTCGCTCTCATCTTTTTGTTGAAACTCAAACTCCTAAACAAGACCGTGAACTTTTAATGAGCTTTTAATTAGAAGATAATATTGTATTTTTGTTTTTTGGCTAAGAAGAATGCTTCAGGCTGATCTTATTCCTATCTCATATCTCCTTGTTTCCTTTCCTTCCTTCCTCTCTCCTTAGGTCTGTACCTTTAATCTCTCCTCTCCTCATTAATTAACTTCTCTAATTAGCTTGTGTTTGTTTAGACTTAATTATCGCCGAGTTTTGTTTCTGGAACAATTAACTTCAAAGATGAATTCATAATTAAGAAGTCAGATTAAACCCTCTCTGTGCCCCTGACCCTCCCCTCTGCTCCATCTGACCTTCTTCTCCTTCTCTGACCTTCTTCTCCTTCTCTGACTGTCTTCTGCTCTTCTGACCTTCTCCTCTGCTCCTCTGACCTTCTCTTCTCCTCTGACCCTCTCCTCTGACCTTCTCCTCTGCACCTCCTCTCCTCCTCTGACCATCTTCTCCCTCTCTGACCCTCCTCTGCTTATCTGACCCTCTCCTCTCCTCCTCTGACCATCTTCTCTGCTCCTCTGACTGTCTCCTCTGCTCCTCTTCTCCTCCTCTGACCTTCTCTTCTTCTCCTCTGCTCCTCTTCTCCTCCTCTGACCTTCTCTTCTTCTCCTCTGCTCCTCCTCTCCTCCTCTGACCATCTTCTCCTTCTCTGACCCTCCTCTGCTTATCTGACCCTCTCCTCTGCTCCTCTGACCCTTTGCTCCTCTGACCCTGTCCCCTGCTCCTCTGACCTTCTCCTCTCCTCCTCTGACCCTCCTCTGCTTCTCTGACCCTCTTCTTTCCTCCTCTGACCTTCTTCTGCTCCTCTGACCCTCTGTTCCTCTGACCCGCTCCTCTGACCTTCTTCTGCTCCTCTGACCCTCTGTTCCTCTCTGACCTTCTCCTCTACTCCTACCTCTGCTCCTCTGACCATTTCTCTGTTCCTCTGACTCTCTCCTCTCCTCCTCTGACCTTCTCCTCTGACCTTCTTCTGCTCCTCTGACCTCCTCTTCTCCTCCCACCCTTTCTTCTACTTCCCTGCTCCTCTGCATCCTCTGCTCGCGTTTCCTGAGAGCATTATCGCAGGAAGTCACTCCAAACATGTGCGCTCACTTCCTGTGGCTCTGTTTTGGTTTCCACGAATTCAAGAACAAACCCTGAAAATACCTTAAAATACCTTAAGAACAGAAGCCGGTCTGTGCACTTCCTGTTCACAATGACGGACTATTGTTTATTTCTACACTACGGAATAGACTCCATGATCACAAAAACACTTTCTTTAGACAATAGAATGAGATTTTCAACATGAAATCATAGAACTTTCTTTTTTATTCCCACGTGGCTTTAATCCCTCACTGGTCCTGGGAGGTTTTTTATAGGTTTTTGTTCTTGTTTAGGTTTTGTTCTTTGTTTTTTTAGTATCGATATCTGCAAAAAATGAGTATCTAGTTTCGATACTGGTTTTAGTATGTGGTTTTCGATACTGCTGACGTCCTGGTGCCCTCTGTCCGGGTTCATGTGTCTGTGTTTTGTTCGGGGGCTTAAACCTGTTACATAAGAGCAAACTGTAAAAATCAATGTGTGAAATGACACGTGGAGATTATAGAGACGTTTAGAAACTAATCCTGAGGGGGAGAGAGAACAGAGAGAGAGGGGAGAGAGAGAGACAGACTGAGGGGGAGGAGAGAGAGAGACACACAGAGAGAGAGACTGAGGGGGAGGAGAGAGAGACACAGAGAGAGAGAGACTGAGGGGGAGGAGAGAGAGAGACACAGAGAGACTGAGGGAGAGAGGAGAGACTGGGGGAGGAGAGAGAGGAGAGAGAGACAGACTGAGGGGGAGGAGAGGAGAGGAAAGAGAGTGTGTGTGTGAGAGAGAGAGAGAAGAACTGAGAAGGAGAAGGATGGAGAGAGAGGGGGGAGAAAGAAGGACAGAGGGGGGGCTACAGAGAAATAATGATGAACTGGACTGGACTTTCGGACCGTGCTGTGCTCAAGCACCATTGCTGTGGGTTCTGTGTTCCGCACTCACACCTGCACAACCGAACCACGCCCGATGACGTCATCAAACAGCGTTGTTAACATGTGCTGACACTTTTAGCGGAGATAAGATCTAAAAGCGGCAGAAATATGTAGTAAATAGTGAGGTTGTGACGTCCTTATGGTCCGCGCTCCTCTGAGTTTATGGAGGTAAAAACTGCGTGGAGCAGTGATGATGCCGGAGACCAGAGGCACATAAACTTCTGTGTGTTTTTATTGAAGGTGAGCGCGGGTTTGTCGTGTGTTTTGGAGCAGATTTTATTCACTGTTTTCCTCGTGTGAGTAACATGCGCGCACACACACGGCTCCTGTAGTAAAGTCGTGCGTGTGCGTGTACATGATCACCGTGTCATGCTTTGGCCCACCTCCTCCAACAGAGCCAAAGTCCCAAACGTGACTGAGCGTGGTTCGTTCCGCTCACACTGGACAAACATACTGCGTTTCGGGCCTGGCTCCACGCGTATTTACGCTCGTGCAGGGTGTATTTTGCCCTATGCGCTGCAACTTTTGGACGCGTAAGTTTCAGAATGCATGAAAAGTGAATGAGGGCGGCTCCAGTGCACGTGACAGGTGCGCGTATGTCCTGCGCGCGTAGATCTCATTGAGAAACACAGAGCCGGTGCCGCGAGGTTACGCGCGTAAACGCTGACGCGTGCAGTGGAGCCAGGCCCTTAGGGGCCATCCGAGCTTCGGCATGGTTCTAAAGTCCTAATGTGAATGCTTCTCTAGAAAGAGCAGAGAGAGTGGGAGGAGACAAGAGAAGGATGCAGATAAAAAGGAGGTGAGACCGAAAGATAGAGTTAGGAGAGAAGTGGAGGAGGAGAATGAATGGGGGAGAGGAGTGAGAGATGCAGACAGAGGGGACAGAGAGACAGGAGGAAGATGGAAAGGCTGAAAAGAGGAGAAGACAAAGAGAGGGAGAGCAGATCTCTGAATCCAGATCAAACTGAGGTGATGTGAAACAGAAGATGAAAACCACAGAGAGCCTTCTCATCATGACACTTTTACATGTGTCTCTGAGTTCATCATGTGGACGTCGTTACAACATCATCTTAAAATGCTCTGTCCCACCTCATGATGTCATCAGATAGACGTGCTCCTCTGTGTTTTTAAAGTCCACAAACGGTTAGGGATGTCACATTGGAAGGAGGCCGCGGGGAAGACCTTAAACACACTATCTCTGAGCTGGTATGGGAACACCTTGGAGTCCCCCTGGAGGAGCTGGGGGAAGCGTCTCGGGTGGGGGAAGTCTGGGAGTCCCTGCATTTCAAACTAGTTCAAGAGCAAGAAAAACAGAAGGAAGATTTCTGAATGAATGTTTTGTGTAGATGTGTAAAGTGATGTGTTTGTAGTAATTGCTGCTTTCAGTCTGACCTGTTCACCTCCAAACTCTCTCTCTCTTTCTCCTCCTCTCTGTCTCTCTTTAACTTTATCTCTCTCTGTTCAGACTCTCCACCGTTTCTGTATTTTTATGTTTTTTTCCTTGTGGATGTTGGTATTTTCTGTGGCCCGAGGACAGGAGCTCCCCGATCTGTTTCCAAACACAGAACAGACAGAAACTCAGACAAAAGACGAATAAACGCAGGGATGGAGGGATGCACGGACGGAGGGATGTGTGGGAGGAGTGTGGGCGTCTCCATAGAGATTCACATCTGCAGAGAAAGGCCCCAGGCGAACGCTAACTGAGCTAACAAGACTAAACTCTAAAGATTCACTGTAAAAAAATCAAAACAGTGAGGTTAAAGGTGCACTGTGTAACTTTTCTTCTGTTTGTCTCCATGGAGATGTCAGTGCTTTGTCTGGAGTGCATTAAAATAATCTTATTTTGTATTTATTCAGTTACACAGGTTTTTATTGCTCAAAAATACAGTGAAATATATGGAACTCTTAATGTGAGTGGGATTGCTTTTCCACAGATCTGACCTGCAGCTTGGCTTGGTTGGTTCACCTGTTTGTCGCCATGGAGATAAGTAAGTTTAATGTCATATCCTCCTGAGACCCGGCCCAATCATTTGTGTCCATTATAATGGACTTTGAGTTAACCAGTCGATCTTTGAAGTGTTCTGAGATCGATTCTTAACGGGGGACGAGGTTCCTCGGTTCCTCTGCCTGAATGTCCAGAATAAGAAATGAACCCAATAGGAGTTAGTTTGTGGCTGCACTATGAACAACTACAACTACTAGAACTACTAGAACTACTACAAACTACAACTACTACAACTACAACTACTACAACTACAACTACTACAACTACAACAACAACTACTACAACAACTACTACAACTACTACAACAACTACTACAACAACTACTACAACAACTACAACAACAACTACAACAACAACTACTAATAATAATAATCACAAAAATGTAATTGTACTTGCAAAAATATAAAACTACTTTCAGTTCTAGTTATCTATGGCTACGTTCAGACTGCAGGACTTAACGCTCAGTTCGGATTTTTTTGTGAAATCCGATGTTTTTGTGAGGTCGTTCACATTTCCAATTAAATGTGACTTGTATGTGACTCCAGTGTGAACATTAAATGGCCCAAAAGTGTCCCACATGTGACACTGGAGACACGATGACCTCAACCACAGTGAGCGTCTCTGTGTTTACGGAAGTTGTCCAAACATGGACGCAGCATTGAGCACCTGGAGATTTTAAAGTTCCTCTCGTACCGGAGCCAGAACATGAACAACTTACTTGTTTTAAGGAGGAGATTGAGAAGGAGAAGGACGAGGTTTTTGGTCGTGGTGTTTTGTGGGACAGCAGCAGCGACGTCCGTTGAAAGGAACATGTGGATGTGGAGACGGAGCCAAGAGTGGTGAGTGGTGATGTGCTTCACTTTAGTGACACAGAGTTCATTAACAATTTTCTCCTACTTCAGCGCAGAATAGTGACGTTTGTGTCTTGTTGATAACGTGTAGGTGGATGAATGCGCTTTGGCCGTTCACACTGAAGTCACATGTCAAAAGATCAGATATGTATCAGTTTCAGGAGCACATATCCAAGTGTCCTGGGTCACATTTGAAAAAAATCTGATCTGTGTCTTTCAGACTGTTGTTAAAAGATCAGATACAGGAACATAGAGGCCAAAAAATCAGATGTGGGTCACTTCAGGCTGCAGTTTGAACGTAGCCTTATAGGCAACATAACTAATAAGACAAGTTTCTAGTCCATTGTGATTCAAATAGAGATGTGTGTGTCTCAAGTGCAATGGGAAAAACAGACAATAAATATTAAAATAATACAAAAAAGCAAACAAACAAATGACTAAACATTATGCAATGCAATAATGCAAATGCATTATAATGAGGGCCCCAAACTCAATTCACCTAGAGCCCACAAATTAAATTAACTCTGCCACTGGATAAAAACAAAGCAAAATAACCTGCATTTGCTGTTTATGAATACTTTTTTTTTTTTTTACAGTGTATGACCCTGTGGCTAATGCTAACCGAGCTAACCCCACAGACACTGGAGGATTGTGGGTGCTCTGGGGCTCGGAGCAGAGTCAGAGAGCAGAGAGGAAGAGGAGGAAGAGGAGGAGGAGGAGGAGGAGGAGGAGCAACCAGACACATGGATGGATGGATGGCCGGAAGGAAAAATGAAAGACAGGTATGTACAAAAAAAAAAAAAAAATCTAGTTTCTGTTACTACAGCAAGTACACGAGTCCACCATCCCCCACACACAATATACAGTATACAACAGCAGGATACAAAACTACACAACAACTTGACAAACCTGACTCCATTATAATAATGAAATACAACAATATTTCCAAACAATAAAACAGGTCCAAAACAAAACAAAACAACATTAAAACATACAATATCTGGAGGAAATATTTATAACAGTTTCATTCTCCCCTACACTTTATGTTACAGTTTTTATTTATCTGATTCAGTATACTTGATTTTGTGGTCTTTGTGGTGTAATTAACTGCACATCACCCCCGTACCGTATGTGTTATTTCAGGCATGGTTCCATGGTCTAAGGCAGGGGTGTCAAACTCATTTTGGTCCGGGGGCCGCATCCAACCTACTTTGATCCCAAAGGGGCCGGATCAGAAAACTCATGTCATATAAACCCCAAAAATAACAATAAGTTCAAATATTTGTGCAGAGAAACGCAAATCTATTACAGAAATCTTTTTTAATTGATGAACTCTTTCTTATTATATGTTTATAATATTATGAACAACCTGAAACTTTAAGAAAAATGTCAATTTCAACACAATGTTTGAACATTAACTTGTATGTAAACAGGAATAAGTCCAATTTTTCTTGGAAAATCCTGCACTCGGCTTTTGTCATGTTGGACATTTTTCTGATGAGGGTGTCACGGTCAACAGTCAAAACGATCGTCCTTTAAGAGCGTTTGGAAAGAGACAAGTCTTCATTTGTGCTGCTCTGGTGGGAGGGGCCACGTACAGAGACGCTGCTATGCTGAGCACCGCAGAAAATTACCAATATTTTAATAGAAAATATAATTAAAATATTTTTGTACAAAATCACCCAAGGGCCACATTAAAAGTCTTGGAGGGCCGGATCTGGCCCCCGGGCCTTATGTTTGACACCTGTGGTCTAAGGTAAAGTTTTTCACAGTATCAGCGAAGATGCTGGACTTTTGCGCCGCATGCGAACGAGCGGAATAAAAAGACAAAAGTAAGATTTTATTTTGTAGGACCATGATACTAAATACCAGGACTGAACCAAGACTCAAGTAGGACTAAACCAGGACTGAACCAAGACTGAACTAGGACTGAAGTAGAACTAAACCAGGACTGAACCAGGACTGGACCAGGATTGAACCAGGTCTAAACCAGGACTAAACCAGATCTAAACCTGGACTAAACCAGGACTAAACCAGAACTAATCTTGGACTAATAGATCCTTGAGCTCCACACAGTGCTCCTTGTTCTGTGGGAAACACTGGTGTCGCCTTGTCTCCGACTGACGTTCATTCATTTAAAGCAGAGTTACCCAGTACCAAGATGGCGGCTTTGTTGACGCATTTGTTCCAATAGACCGCGGTCATCCATGTGAGATCTACTTTTCTATATCTATGGTGTTATAATAGAGAGAATATAACATTTTCCATACAATAACAAAGGTAACAAATAATAAACAAAAACTAAATACCAGGACTGAACCAAAAGTCAAG